ATTAAAAACCAAATTCATAAGACCTGGTTGAAAGAATAAATTATAGACACTTCAAAGCCAAGTACACACTTTCAATTCTAATTTTAGTCATTGGTATAAATTTTAAGTTGAATTATTAACTGATATTTATGTTGGACAATTCTTTCATTATAAAGTTAATTATATACGATCATATTAATTATTTTTAGGAACTTAAACTTTTATTAATTTTATAATTCAAAGATAAATTTTAAAAAAGTTTTTACTTTTGAAATAGGGTACACGCGCAAAGCGCGTACACTAACACTAGTATATGATAAAATGATAGTGTAGTTGCTGAATTTATTATCCAATATCCATAATTTTTCGACAACTTTATATTCAGATTTAATGTTTACTCAAACAATTTTCAGTTTGCTGCCAAAACATTAGACTATAGTTTAAGGTTTGCAATAATTTATAAAATTTTAGACCGTAGTTTAATATTCCTAATAAAATTTTAAATTCAATAAAAAAAATTTTTAGACTGTGCTTTAAAAGGTCATTAGTTACTAGACAAATAAAAAGATGATCATTTACTGAATAACTGATACAAAAGTGGACAACCAAGCGAAAATTTGACGGGAAAATGACATTGTATAGCCGCTCTCAAAATATAATATATATATATATATATATAATACTATATTATTAGCATGAACACTTTTAGGTGAAGTTAGTTTACTAAAATGTCCTTCAAAAGTTGAAAGACCATTTTACCCTTCAGTAAACACTACTCCTATAAAATTATGTTTTTGTTAAATTATTTTTTTTCCCAACTATTAAATCATAAATCTAAGTTACAATGAACGTGGCTGGAATCCTACTACTAAATGCTTCTATTGCTAAAGTGAGTACAGTAAAAAAGAACATATGTATTCAGTAAAGATTTTTGGGTTCTGTTTATCATTATGTCTTCTCTATCTTATCCGTTAAGAAAGTCCTATGTTACCAATTTAAAATGATAATTAATTCTCTTATCTACTAAACAAAATATATTATTAACCTATTCTCCTAAAATTCCTCTATTTTTCTTCTTTTACATTATGTTTCTCGGGTTTCCCTTTGTAAAATTCCCCCATCCTCATTTTCATTATAACTCCTATTTTATGTCTCCCCCTTCCCCTGTCCCTTTTCCTTCTTTATGATACGTATTTTTCCCTCCCATTAATTACCCTTTTAAATAACATAAATGTATTTTATTAATTAAACTAAATATCCTATTTAATAAAATAAAAAACTAACGCCTAGGAAGAAGGCAACGTTGTTAAGAAAGATTGTTTCTAAGTTGCCACCGTTCCAAATACCTACAAACAACTCTCAATGTTTCATAATCCTTATTGACTATCAAAATTGTAAGTTAATTAAACACTACTCTTTATCACTTCAAACAGTCATTTCTTTCTTCACTTGCGTGCTTGATACAACGGGGTTCTGCTTATCAATTTTTCATGGCTATTGAGAGTAGCAGTTAAGAATCATAATGGAACAGAACTGTACTTCTCTTTTGTGCGAATTACTGAAAATTTCTTGGTTCATTCTTTTCAATTCCTAAATCTGGTAATTCATTTTATTCTCTTCCCGTTCTTTTCAGTTCTTGGCATCCAAAACTTACTTAGTTTACAAGGTAATAGATATTCAAACTATTCAAACATCTTTCTTTTTTTTATGTGTAATTGTTTACTCAACTATTTTTTTAACATTATTTTGCAAATACATGATTTGGCATACACGTGCAATGCACGTGCCGAGAAACTAGTATAGAGAAAATGCATAATTACCCCCTAACCTATACCCAAAGTTCCAACTACACACTTTTTCTTCACGGGAATCCTAGTACCCCCAAAACTATTTTTTACCTTAATATCTTGGACCTTTTATGTTGAGCTGGACTGGAACATGAACACACCTTCCCCAAGCGCGTAGTAAATTAAATAAAAAGGTTTTAGCCTATAAAAAATGGACACGTGTTGTTCTCAAAGCTGATTTGGAAGACCCCTTCTTCTAAACATAAAACGTTCTTCTTTCCCATTATGTCAGCCATTTTCAAGACCTTTGAAGGTGAGTTTTAATTTGCAATTTTCTTTGGTTTGAAGAAGTAAGTGATTTTTTTGTGTAAATTCCTCCCTTTGACTCTTTTTTCTGTTAAGGGTTTTTTAATTTCTTCCCCAATTTCGGTCTATAAAATCTTAGAGTTAGGAATGGCAAACACCAAGTTGAATAAATTGTGCATGGACGAAGATGATCCAATGTTCAATGCTGAAGTGCGATGCAAATATGGTATTTTGCTGCAAATGCAAACTTCTTGGTCAGATTGGAATTCCGGAAGACGATTTTGGTCTTGTCCTCACTATGAGGTATGTGTTCATGTTCTAAGCCTATCGATTAACTTGAAAATTAATGTTAATTGGGTCGTTATTGAATTCTTTAAATTTCAAGCCACAAATTGCAAGTTTTTCAAATGGAGAGACAACGAAAGAGTTGATGAAAGATCAAAGTTTATTTGTCACGATCCAGATTTTCCCCCCTCGGAAGTCGTGATGGCACCTACTAATGTGATCTAGGCAAGCCAATCCTTGACCGCTTACTTCATTACCAAATTACTTCTTTTAGCTATTATCAGTAATATCATGAAAACAACAAAATTAAATAAATATGCGGAAGACTTAGATTTAAAGAAACTGAACAATAATGCGAAAATCAACATATTCCTCTACCCAAGAACTGGTGCCACATTACTCACGAACTTTTAAGAGTACTAAATACAACCGTTTGAAAGAAAGATATAAACTATTTGTCTCGAATACATGAGATAACAGACTGAAATAAAAGATAGAGGAGATGTTGGGTCTGCGAACGCCTGCAAGGCTACCTCGGGTTTCATTGGACTGAAGACTGGCTCCCACACTACTGCTGCTGTCCAAGATCTGGATCTGTACAAAAGAGCACAGAGTGTAGTATCAGCACAACCGACCCCATGTGCTGGTAAGTGTCCAGCCTAACCTTGGTGAAGTAGTGACGAGGCTAGGACCAGACTCCAAATAACCTGTGCAGTTCATATATATATATGCAGAGGAAAAGAGATACAGAAATAATCAGTCAATGTGGGAGGGGAAAACATGTTGTGGGGGAACTAATAGTTCCGAATAGAAAGGCATCAAGTAAGCAAAGAAACAACATAACTAGAATATCAACAATGAAACAGAAATCAACAAATTGGCACGGCATCACCCTTCGTACTTTTACTCTCGTCCTCACCAAAACAATACACGACATTACCCTTCGTGCTTTACGCTTTCCTCACCCAAACAACAATCACAAGACAAGTAGGGTAAGAGAATCTTTAACCTTGAAGTGAATCAAATAACACCAAGTAATGAAAGAAACAACATAACTCGGATATCAACAAAGAATCAGAAATCAACAAATGCACGGCATCACCCTTCGTGTTTTTACTCTCGTCCTCACCAAAATAATCATATAATAAAAATGTGCACGGCATCACCCTTCGTACTTTTACTCTCTTAATCATATAAATCATATAACGAATCACTAGGCATGACCAGCACAAAAGGTCCAAGATATTAAGGTAAAAAATAGTTTAGGGGGTACTAGGATTCCTGTGAAGAAAAAGTGTGTAGTTGGAACTTTGGGTATAGGTTAGAGGGGTAATTATGCATTTTTCCTATATACATATATACATACATACATATACATACATATATATATATATATACATACATACATACACACATACATACATACATACATATATATATATATATATGTATGTGTATATGTATATGTATATGTATATATATATATATATGTATATGTATATGTATGCGTATATGTATGTATGTATATATATGTATATGTATGTATGTATGTACATACATTATGTATGTTATAGACAAAAATTATGTGGGGGTAGCCACTTTTTAAAATGGTATTTACTTTTTATCCAGCATTTTAATGCTGAGCAAATGTAGCCACTAGTCTATTAAAATTAATATGAAAAGACAGTGTTACCCTTTCTTTTATCTCTTTTCCTTCCTAAACGGCGTGAGTGAAGGCATCGGATTTTCATGAGTTGTAACTTGGCTATAGTCTATTCTTTGTCAACAGTCTTCCATCCCACATAAAATTCCCGCAAGCTACTGTTATGCTCGATCTTTAGGACTTTTCTTTTTAGGATAAAGATTGAGGAAAAGTAAGTATGTAGCTTAAAAGGTTGAGTGTGAAGAAGAGGGAGTGAGACATGCAGTTGTCTGAAAAAATGGAGGAGGGTCGTCAAAAGTAGGGAGGTTATCGGAATAGTTAAGGACAAGTAATTCTTAACTTAGACTTACAAGCTCATAAATTAAGGACAGCTAGTCCTGAACTTACAGTAACAAGCTCATAAGTTAAGGACACTTGGTCTTGAACTTAGAGTTGGAAGTTCAAAAATTAAGGACACTTGGTCCTTAACTTAGAGTTACAAGCACAGAAATTAAGGACAAGTGATCCTTAACTTAGAGTTGCAAGTTCAAAAGTTAAGGACAGGTAGTCCTAATCTTAGACTTACAAGCTCATAAATTAAGGACGACTAGTCCTGAACTTACAGTAACAAGCTCATAAGTTAAGGACACTTGGTCCTGAACTTTATGAACAGAAGGGTATTTTCGTCCGGATGGGTAAAAGTTTATTAAAGCAGTAACTAAAGACTAAAGACATTTTAAACAATGACTTAAAAGTAAATACATATCTTATTACTGGCTAACTGTGCACTTTCCCTTGATAATACCCCTTTTGACAAATTAAGAGAGTCCTTCAGATATTGGGCCGCTTTAAGGTCCAAATTTATTACCCGGCCCATAAATGCAATTTCCTTGCCGAAAGTTGAAATTTTCCTCTTTTGCGATGGAATCTTGTCCCTTCTCCCATTAACAACAATAACAACACACAGGCAATGCAAGACTGGCACCTGGTAATATGCACAAAATTAAGTTATATTAAGAAAATATTGCAGTTTTATTTATCTGCTAGGCTGCTACATAATGCTTCAAATTTTATGCAAAGTTAACTGCTCGTTAGCAGATTGAGTTAAAGCTTGCGTTTTTCATCTGTGGATTTTCGGCACTGACTTCTTCTTGCTTGTTTTGGGTATGTTAGTAATTAATCAACAATTTTAGGAGAAAACGAAAAATAAGAGTATGTTTGATTTTTTTTGTTGGTAAAACTGGGATGTATTACCATAAGACAAACCAAACTTTACACCTATCGAGCATTTAGGAGAAGCAGCAGTATGTCAACCCCTCAGAACAGAAAAAAAAAATAGTTACAAAACTGTTGGATCAGATATTTACATTTGCTTGCTTTCCTATAGTTTTTCCTACATTCTATTCTCTCCACTATTTCTTTCTTTATCTGTTCTGTTGCTATAAATGTAGTAATATATGTCCCTCTGAATTGCTTCCAGTTCCTCGCCTGCCAAGTATGATAAATTCTTGCTCCCAGTAATGCAGCTGCTATTTCCTTCTTGAATTGTTTCCAGTGCCTCCCCTTGATCCATTTTAAGCATCGTATAGTATCTTGCTTTTTGTGTTCTGATGCCCGTCCATCTTTCCAGTGCTTCTTTTACTTCCAGTGTCCAGCTACATTCATGAAATAGATGATTATGTGTTTCCCTCTTACTATCAGTGCATAGACAGCATGTCGCATCCTCCACTTGGATATGCAGCCTTTCCATCCTCTCCTTTGTAAGCAATTTGTCTTGACTAGCCAACCACACTATAAAACTATGTCTTGGCAGCATAATTGAATTCCATATCATATCTGCTTCTTGAAGACTGTCCATCTCTCCCAGTAGTGCAATGTAGCTCTTGCTAACAGAATAGCACCCATTTGAGGTCAGATTGTAGACGTCACCTGTGTACCAGCTAGTCATCACATCTTTGAGAGAATTAAGTTTCCTCCAATACCAGCTACTATCCACAGGAGGTACATGAGTCCAGATATCTTGGTTGCCTCTCATATACAGTCCATGGATCCATTTAATCCACAATGTGTCTTCTTTGCATGCTATTTGCCATATTAGCTTTCTTACAGAAGCAATGTTCCATAGTTTGCAACTTTTCACATTGAGACCTCCATACTTCTTCAGTTCTTTGGTCTACAGATTTTTTCCCATGAAACCAACGTAACTTTCCTCTTTCCTTCAGTACTTCCCCATACGTATTCTCTGCACTTCCTGTCTACTTCTTTTAGTATACTCTTGAGGCAAAACAAAGACTGCACCCCAAAAGTTATAAACTGAAAACAACACTGCATTAATAATTTGCAATCTCCCTGCATATGACAATGTTTTGCATAGGCACTTGTAATCCTGCTTGTTATCTTGTCCACAAGCTGGTGGCAATCAATCTTACTCCACTTCTTAGAGGAAAGAGGCAATCCCAGGTATCTTATTGGCAAAGTGCCTACTGAGAACCCTGTTAGCTGTACCAATTGATTCTTGATGTCATCCTCCATACCTGCCATAAAGATGCTTGACTTTTCCATGTTTGATTTTGAGGAAAGTGTTTTCCATATCATAATTTACTTCACGAAATCATGATTTGGATGATTTTCCTGTGTTTGGATTGAGTATAAGAGTAAGTGGCGATAAAGTGATCATGTAAAGTAGAATATAGGATATGATGATAGTATTTTGGTACGTAATATTTTGAGTGTTAATTGAGGACAATATGTAAGTATTGATGGAAGCAAAGTAATATAATCTAGAGTTTGTATATTTGTGAAGTCTTAAGGAAAATGACTTGTGCCGGCAAGTGAAAGAGGTCCCTTTCTATTCCTAATTCTCGGTATGGTACGAAACCAGTTTTAGGCAGGGAAAGTGCTTTCATGGTTGGTCTTAGGATTTCTTATTGTTTCTAGTTCCAATTATGTGTGTTGAAATTGGCAAAATGTTTGTCCCACATCGGTGGGAAAACAAAAGTTGGGGGGATTTTCCCCCTATAAAAGAAGGCTTAATGTTTAGGATTTAGACACACCTCTCATTTGCCTTCTCATCTGTTTAAGGCATTTGTATCTTCTCTCTTTAGTATTATTTCACTTGTATTTTTGGAGTGGAATAAAATATTGGTTGTGTCCGAGGAGTAGGCAAAATTAGCCGAACCTCATAAATTCTGGTGTTCCCTTTATTGTTGCTTTGTTGTCTTATTTATTATTTGGTGGCTGTCATAAATTTTGGTATAGTAGTTGTGACTTATTCACACTCTATACATTTGGCTTCCGCAACAATGTGTAAAGGTGAAGTATGTTTCTCCTACGCTAGGATCAATGTAGCATGGTGTAATGCCCTGCTACACTTATATATTCATCTGTTTTTGGTATAAAAAGTATAGCCCACCTAGAGCTGAGTTTAATTGGAGCGAAGAAAAGAGCATTAAAAATGATTTGAGCAAGGACAATATTTCTAACGAAAAAAATTTCCATCATATGAAAAGTAAAAAAGAGATGATCTAAATGCCGTAGCGTGGTCAGGGAGGATTTACATAGCTAATCCCAGCTTGTTTGAGACTGAAGCGTAATTGTTATTGTTGTATAACAAAAGTAAAAAAGAGCAATATGGAGAGCAGCATTGGATGTGTTTGCAATCACAAAACCTTTTGGTATCAATTCCATTTGTGCTTGTGAATCTGTTTACAGTTTTGATCGCATCTGTTGGCAACGCAGAGTGTCCTCTACTTGGTCAAACTGCTTCTGTTTTATCTTCTTTTCCTGTTTCGGAAGCTACATCCTAGTCTCCAGTATTCTATATCATGGCCGAATAGTATCCGACTGTGTTTATTACAATATTGATTTATTTTTTCCTTCTTTTTTTGTTTTGTTTGTTTTGCCTCTTATTTTATGTCTTTGCGATGCGTGCAGTCAGGTGAATTTAGATTTTATCCACCGACAGTGTAAAATACTTTCAGTTGACAGGCTTCAACAGGCTAGGCACCCTCTTTTCCAGGTTACTATGCTACACCAAGATTGGTTAAAAAGAGCACTTTGATAAGATTTTTCAGCAGTTAATTGTTAAATAACCTGATTATGTAAATATTTGCTGGACCAACCAGACAGTGTGTGTTTTACTTGGGCAAAACTAACTCTCAAATTTTTTGTCTCCAGGAAGTTGGATATGTAAATGGACTCAAAATTTCCATGTCTGTTTGAAATATTGTGTCATAAATTACGGCTTGGTTTTGATGGCAGAGTTTGCAATGGAAGGAGAAAAGGTTGCACTTCTCTTTGGAGCATTTCTTTGCTCGAGTTACGCTTATGAGGTCTCAGTATCCTGTATGATAGCTTATGATGAGGGTGGTGCTTCAGCAGTTTTTGACTCACCTGAATGTCCTCAGTGGGAATTTTCTGCTGCTATTGGAACAGATAACTGCCTGGTAGCTACGCATCAGGGGCGTAGGAAATACCAAGAAGACCGTATTATATGTTATCCTCGTGTTATTGTTCCCGTTTTAGGTAATTTCAAACTCTACCCTCTTGGCTTATTCAGATTTCTCAGTTTAATAAAAGAGCTACAGCTACTGCCTTTCCTATTGCGTGAGAGTTAACTTGGACTTGTTGGCTATATATCTATCTCAAACTACCAAGGTAGTACCTATTTGGGACCCTTCTTTCTTTGAAGGCCCAAAAATAGGGTAGCCACTATTGCATGAGAATTGAGAACTCTTTGGTCAGTCAAAATGTTGAATGCATTATGATGACCATTCCTTTTGTTGCAGAAGATGTTGAACACATCAACACAAACCATGTAATGTACACGTAAAATATCCCAAGTTCCTGGTTCATCCTGCTCATCTTTTTCTTCATGATCACTAGGTGAAGATGGGCCTAACGAAGCTAGCCTGGGTATAGCGGCAGTTTTTGATGGACATGGAGGCAAGGAAGCTAGTGAGAAGGCTTCTCAAAAGTTTTTAGATTACTTTTTATTGCATGTGGTTTTCAACACATACAAGAAACTCTTCTCACACAGTAAGGAGCATGAAGAAGCAGGTCAATATAGCTTGAAATTCAAAGGTTTGTAACCTGTCATACAGAAATTTAGAATTTCTTTCTAGAACTTGTTATTAGTATCTCTGGTTATTTTCTGCAACATTACTTTGCCAAGCCCCTCAATCTGTCTGTTGCCATGTAAATGGTATGAAACACCTCTAACATTGCATCTGCATATGAGTTGGTAATTGCATTAAAACGAAAAGCATGTGAATATACTTTTATGCATCACAAACTATAGGAAAGTATTTCTACCTATAAATCTACTCTCAACAGTACAAGTATTGATGTTTGTTGTTTACACAGTTCTAATGGTGCATTATGTGTAGTTGATGAGGAATCGACACATGGCATCCTAGAGAAAGCCTTCTTGAGAACAATCCAAGATATAGATTCAGAATTTTCCCAGGCACATACAATTTTTCTTGTGTTTGTTATTCTCTTGAGCTGCCCTTCAGATTTTCAAGTCAAATTCTCTGTGCAGGAAGCTTTGAACAATGACTACATTTCTGGATCAACTGCAACAGTTGTTCTTTGGATGAGTGGGCAGATATTAGTTGGTAACCTGGGTGACTCAAAAGCACTCTTATGCTCGAGGAGAACTCACTTTGATCAGGACAGTGAAGGTCTAAAATCTTCCAACTATTGTTCACTAAAACTTGTCTGTTGATTAGCACATTGTTGCTCCCGGCTAAAACGCGGATTATTTATCGTCAGTTTTCCAGTTCTCTTGCTATCCTTTTACTCTGTCTGCTCTGCTTGAACATCTCAGATAATTTGGTGACAAGACTTCAAGCTGAAGAACTAACAAGGGATCACCATCCTGATAGAGATGATGAAAAGGTTAGAATTGAAGCAGCTGGCGGGGTTGTACTTGTTATTGGTGTACCTCGTGTCAATGGTATATTGGCTGTCTCACGGTCTATTGGAGATATTCGTCTGAAAAGGTCCATCCTTAACCCTTTGCCATTAGTTGTTCTTTTTGACTCAAACTGCATGCTCAGCAGTCCTTGTGTTATGCCATGAACACAAAGCAGTGAGTAGAGCGTTTCCGCTGATCTATTTTCTTTTGGTATTTCTAGGTATGGAGTTATTGCTGAACCAGAGGTCATGAGTTGGAGACATTTGACAACTGACGACTGCTATGTGGTGATAGGATCTGATGGTATATTTGAGAGAATGAGTCCCCAGGATGTCTGTGATATTTTACATGGAGGAAATGCTAAAGAGAACGCGACGTCCATTGACTCATCTTTCTGTCCATCTTCATCCTCTTTAGCCGACTGCATTGTCCAAAATGCATTTAGTAAAGGTAGCAGTGATAACTTGTCTGTTATTGTGATTCCAATGACAATGGAACACAAAGAACAGACATGAACTCTGTTCTACATTCAAGTATTCCTTGCAAGTTGAAAAGAAGGTTGATAAATGACTTATTGCTCACTTGAAAATAAAAGTGTCCTGCTAAAATTTGCTATTCCCAAATCATTTTTCTTCAGTTCTACTCATTTGGAGGAAAAAGAACTTTTAATGGAACTAGTCCAAGGTAAAACTGCAAATAACAATGATATAATATGAATTTGAGTGTTGATCACTTTGATACTATAAATGGTCACCCAAATCAAGTGATTAAAAGGAAGAGCTTTGGAGAATTATTTCCCTCCCTTTCCTTACTAGAATCAAAATTTCATTCCACACACAGGCACACGCCAAACATAAGCAAAAAAGTAAGGATTTTGAGCGCCGAATGCTACTACTTTGTTATATAACCAATTAAGGCTGTTATATTCAAAATTTTGAGTAAGGAAAGAAAAAACGTTCCGTTACCGGGAATCGAACCCGGGTCTCCTGGGTGAAAGCCAGATATCCTAACCGCTGGACGATAACGGACTTATGTGTTAGACTTGTAAACATAGCTTATTATCGGAGATTTGATAATGAGAAATAGTGAACTAAGCAAACAGTGGGATGTCAGCTTCATTTATGTTGGCTGCACTACGTTTAGTTTTGTACGCTTACCATATTGCGAAATTAGGATGCATGTTTCTCTAATTTATAGCTCTTTGAGCTACTAATAAACATCATCACCAAGTACTCCCCTTTGTTTATTTTCTTTCCCCAGCAATCTACTTCTAGTTTGCTTTTCCCATCCTTACCATACGTTAAGCAAGGTGTTTGATCTGCTTTTTGTTTCTTGCAAGCATGATCTAGCCTTGGTCAGATAAAAAATGTAAAAAAGAAAGAGGAATCATTGCTGACCATGATTAGGTCATGCTCTGACAACCTCATACACTGGGCCAAGTAGGATTTTTACCAACAACAACAAAATTCAGTAAAATCTCATAAATGGAATTTGGGGAGGATAGTGTGTGCGCAAACTTTATCCCGACCCAAAGGGTAAAAGATTTTTACCATGAGGATTCAAACAAATAAAAAAAAAGTAAATACGTAAAAAAGCTAAATAAAATTCAACATTCAATATATATATGAAAAGATTTAACCTTATATACACGACGATAATTTTCGGGTGAAGGGGTTTCGGCCACTTCCGTCCACCTAGCTTCGCCCTTGGCCTCGTAAGTCGTTCCCTTCCTCTTTTGAGCCTCAACGGTTTCAAAAGTATATATACCTCGACACAATATATATTTTTACTATAACTATGAAACTAAGTTAGTAGACGGAGCAACAACAAAATCACTATGTAATAGTAAGTAATCTTTGACTCCTCCGATCCGACCATATTATTCTCTTTTCCATGTGCAATGACTTCTTATCTTGATAGCTCTTATATAATTTGTTTATTACTTTCGCTTTGACTTTTTACTTCATTATTTTAACTCTTTTAAGTATAAATAACGCAAATATTGGTGAAGGATTCACTATCTCTGTTACATTTCGTGTTTTCGTACGTTAAAATTTCGTTTTCAGTTAACCGACATAGACTCGGGGATGAGATCATCTTGATGTTAACATACTTACGCTATTTATAACAAGCGATAAATAAGTGTTATGAAGGATAAAGGGGTACACGGATTAAATCAAACGAGTTTCATTGAAAGTGTCCAATTTGAAATAAAATACGGGTCGAGCGATAAAACCCGATAATTATGAACTAGTACCATGCAAGGTACCATATGACCACGGTAGTATAATATATAAGGTATATATGAAGTAATTTAAAAATAAATAAAATTTTAATTAATTTATGATAATTGATTAATTACCGAGTAACAGAAAATTACCCAGTTAACTAATAAGTGGATAAAAAATTAATAAATTAACCCTCCAAACGTGGCAAGAAGCCAATAACCTAGAAAATGACTAAGTAGTTATAATTCTAGGTGGCTACCTATGAATAACATAATCATGACTTAAAGATTAAATCTTAGAAAGACTTGTAAAATCTTATACATTCTGTCTTTAGCTTTAATTCACGACTTTGGCTTGAAACCAAGAACCTTGAAATAGAAAAACATTTCGTCCAAAATCTTGCCAAAATTTCGATTGAAATTTCAAAGAGCAACCACAATTTTGTTTCAAAATTTCAAGAGATTCAAGCAGAATTTCATTTTCGTTTCAAAATTTCAAGAGATTCAAGCAGAATTTCATTCAACATATTTCACAGAAGCAGAAGCTTCATTCTGTTCAAATAATTCCAGGAACAGGTATGTTAAGGCCCTCCCTTCTTTCTTTTGGCATGGTCCATATGATACTGAAGAAACGAGCAAACACATAGTTTCCATAAATTACTCTATTTATAGAAATAGTAGGGGTGTCTATATTCTTGATTCCCCAAGAGAATTATTATTATCTTCTGTTCATGGGTTTCAGAATAATACGCAGTTGGAAAAGTTTATCTGGAAGGAATACTGAGATTATTACGTATTTTTCATGCATTTCACTCATTTATACATGTGCATTGACTCATTACCAGATGGCGTTATATACACGTATATATATAAATATATGTATATGGGATATGGAAAAATTTTACGGCATTATATACGCACCACCATCTGATCAGTGGTATATGTTGATGATGTTGCCCATAGTGGTCGAGACGATATGATGTGATGCCCTCAGTGGCTTGATGATATTGTGTACACCCACACCTATGCATGATACGACATTTATACGCATGTGCATGACGTTATAAACGTTTTAGAATTTACAAAGTTATTCAGATTTAAAGATGTGTTTTTATATGTCATGTTTTATTTATGTCTTTTACGTACAAATTTTCATGCCTTACATACTCAATACATTTTTCGTATCGACNGTTGGGTTGTATGTGGCCTTGTCGGCTTTCAGTTTTGGATGTATAGTTGTCTATAGCAGCCTTGTCGGCTTGCCCACTGTATTCTGTATGTATACGTACATATGCCTTGATGGTAGGTTTTCTTCACATGTATTATTTTCGTAATCAGCAGATGTTATTCAGGTTCATATCTTAGACGCGTGCTTAGGGGTGTTTGACAGGTAGGACTCAGGAACCCGTCGCGGTCCATCAGTTTGGGTCGTGACAAAAGTGATATCAGAGCAGTTCTGTCATAGGGTTGTCTACAGACCGTGTCAAGTAGAATCTTGTTTATGGGTGTGTTGTGCACCACACTTATAAACAGGAGGATACATGACATATAGGATGTTATCCTCTCTTTTTATCTCAGATCGTGCGATACAATAATTTATGTTCCCAACAATATGCTATATTTTTAGCGATGCCTCCAAAGAGTACGGTCGCCCAGAAGGGAAAGTCCATGGCTGGTGATACTACTAGTCGAGCGCCAATAGTTACCAGGGCTCGGGGAGAGTCTCATGATGAGGTTTCATCTCAGACTTCACATACCTCGCCCTTTCCAGAAGAGTTCCGAGGGGCACCAGCTCCAGCGCCCGCCCTGTACATTCAGCACCTCAGCCGGATGCACCTGGTCAGGAGATGAGAGATCCTATTCAGTTATTGACCCAATTAGCAGCCGTAGACGCTCGGCGTTAGGAAGTAGGTATTGGTCATGCAGATAGGTCCGTGAGTACGAGGGTTCGTGACTTTATTAATTTAGATCCTCCAGTATTCACTGGAGCAGATCCAAATGAGGACCCTCAGGTATTTATTGATAGAGTGTAGAGGACGTTACGGGTAATGAAGGCCAATGCGACTGAGTTAGTTGAGCTAGCTTTCTATAGACTCCAAGATATTGCAGTTAATTGGTATGAGTCTTAGGAATTGTCCAGAGGTGAGGATGCCCCTCCAGCGGTATGGCAGGAGTTTACAAAAGCTTTTCTTCGTCATTATCTGACACCAAATCTTAGACGAGCCAAAGTTGATAGGTTTTTAACACTTCGACAAGGTAACATGAGTGTTCGGGAGTACAACCTCCAGTTTGATTTGTTGGCTAGGTATGCTCCTACTATTGTATCTAAGATAGAGGATCGGGTAAACCAGTTTGTGATGGGATTAGAGCCTCACTTGCTTAACGATTGTATGTCGGTCTCACTTCAGCCAGACATGGATATTTCTCGTATTCAGGCATACGCTCAGGGTGTAGAGGAGCGTAAATAGAAATAGAAGGCCGATCGTGAGCATGATAGGGCCCAGAATAAGAGAGCGAGGTTTTCGGGTCCTTTTGGTGAGTTTCGAGCTGGTCAGATGTAGCAGTACTCGAGGTATCCATCCCAGCCCTCGACTAGAGCGCCCCCTCAGTTTGGCGGTAAGAGATTTGATCGTTCTACATATTCAGGGTCTGGTCAGAATTTTAGGGCCTCAGGTTCTCAATATAGGGGTGAGTCAAATCAGATGAGGCCACCCTTGCCATGATGTACTTAATGTGGTAAGCAACATACCAGGCAACGCCGTATGGGGTTAGGTGTTTGTTATACTTGTGGTTATCTAGGCCACGTTATGAGGGATTATCCGATGAGAGGTGATGCAAGCATAGCTCAGCCGTCGGGATCTACAGCTAGTTTGTCATCATCAGTACGCCCCCCTAGGCAAGGTCCCCAAGCACCAATGAGTCGTGGTAGAGGCGGAGCATCTAGCTTGAGCAGCCCTCAGAACCGCATTTATGCCTTGGCAGGATGACAGGACCAGGAGTCATCGCCTGATGTTGTTACAGGTATATTATGAGTCTCCTCATATGATTTATATGCACTGATTGAACCAGGTTCCACCTTATCATACGTTACTCCATTAGTTGCTGGTAAGTTTAGAATAAAACCTGAATTGGTTAACCCTTTTGAGGTATCTACACATATTGGGGACTCGGTAATAGCTAAGCAAGTATATAGGGGTTGTATAATAGTACTTCATGGTCGAACTACCGTAGCAGACTTAATCGAGTTAGATATGGTAGAATTTGATGTTATAATGGGTATGGATTGGTTGGCTTCTTGTCATGCCAACGTTGATTGTAGATCAAAGATAGCCCGATTTCA